ATATGTTAGTAACTTTTCTGTAGACCCTTGTCCACAGACCGTGAACTTCAGGGCACAATTTCTGTTTGTAACTTAGCAATCACAATATCAGACTTTGGTCCCAAGACATCTCTCAAGATGAACACTAAGCAACAGTAACTTCTTCCAGTTATCCAATTAAGCCTGTAAAAATCCAGTGTCTGCTACTGTGGAGTTAATTGTGTCAAAAGAAAAATCCCCTATTCAAGAGACATAGACAAAGGTTTCTGTCTGTGTTTACTGTGTTTTTCACAAAAACAGAAAATAAATCATAACTCCAGACATTCTGAAGCACACCTGTACCGATACAAATTGCACTCACAGATTTGGCTACATACCTGTACGTATCCGACATTTCCTTCGCTGTTGCCTAAACCACCCAGGATAATAGGATAATGAGGGTCAAAATTCAGGACAAATTCACATGGGACATTCTCAATCTCTATTCGAACATACATCCCAGGCCGAAAGCCTTCATACTGCACTCTGGTCTCATCATCTTGATCTTCAAATTCTGCTCGGTTAAGCTATGTGAAAAAGAGAAAGTCACCATGTGTTTTACAAAATTCAAGTATTAACAACTTGTTCATGAGGTGTCAGTTCTATTTAAAACATGCTAACATTTATATAAATCTTTCAGGAAAGATCTGATAAGTTTTGTGACTTTTTATTGAGAGCAAGATCTCTGCCACCATGAATCCCTTCCAATTTGAAATCCCAAGTGGGCCTGTTAGTCTACTTGAAAGACAGTACCCAAGAGAAGCAAATGATGAGTGACTTCTGATGTACCTTCCATAATGGTGACTTTGGATTTTAAAGATAAAACTGTCAAAAGTACGGTTTTGATTTAGGAGCCCTTTTAAAGTTAACATCCTGATCTTTAAGGTGTCATTTTATGAGGAGGCCAGGCTCCCATCTTACTCAGCAGCTTAAAAATATTTCTGTGTATCCTCACACTGTATATCATCAAAAGGGTCTTTTAAAGCTCTTCTGTTCCATAGGAATGTAGATATTGTGTAAATATTTAACAAGATATCCTTGTGAACAACACAAGCCTCACCTTCCTGTTCTAGCTCCTGATGTTCAGCTACCTATAAGATGCCATGTTTAAGCAAACTAATTATTTATTTCATTTCTCAAGGTACTGAGATACGGCACAAATCTTCTGGTCTGAGTTTATTTCTCTAGAAGCCTTTCCACATCCCCAGTTTTAGATCCTTGCCCTCCCATCCTGCACTAGGAGTATTGCTGATACATATTTCTGTAACAGATCTCAAGTGAAACAGCTGTAAATTGTCTCGTATTCTTTTATTGGAAAGTCCTTCTTTATGCTTTAAGTACTCTTAGTAAGTACATCAGCATATCAGAGCTCATATGATCACTTATGACAGAGGCTAATGCAAGAAGGTAATGATTAATTTAGTGACTATTTAGGGCAAGATTGTGTCAGAAGAGAAGACACTGAAGTTCTTAGAAATGCTCTTCCACGTCAGCCAAAGAAAGAAGCTACTTCTAAGCTTACAAGATTTTATCTAAAAAAACAAGGCCTGGAACAAAATCAACAGCTCCAAATCCAGATACAGTTACCCTGAAGACTCCTACCACATCTACAGAGCAATGGTCATCAATGTTTTTTCCCCTCAAAATAACTTGACAGTTTGATGAAAAGACTGCCACACAGAACTTACTTATCCCTTAATAACACTGAAAAAATCACACTAAAAATAGTACCAGGTAAATATTTGACATAAATTAGTATGAGAAAGATTTTCACCTTCCTACACATAAAAAGAACCCTCCCCCCACGCCCCCTCCCCCTCCTGGAGGGGAACCTTCTCTCTCATGTTTTGGGGGTTTTTTTTGAGACCTGTCATGCTAGTTCCACCACTACAGGACAAATGGATAACTGTTAAAAACTTTAAAGCAGATAAAGTTCAGATGACACATCCTAACTTAGTCAGTGATTTAGTATATGGTTAACTACTTAAATCAATTTAAATTAAGCTTTCAGTTGTTTGGCTTGTTTTCCTTTCCAGCTAATGGAATCAAAAAGTTCAACCATAAAAAAAATTGCAAGTACGTATTTCTTTGTGTGCACTCTCTGAAGCAGCTCCAGAATGTCACGTGTGTCTCCAGATAAAAACCTTTGGGCAAAATCTGTGGGTTACTGTTGAAGACATACAGCCAGACAAATTGCCAAGTTAACAGCTTGTACCTGTGCTTGTTTATGCATTTCTTCTTTAAGATCATCAAAGTATGTGGCATCCCCTTCATCATACTCTGCATTAAACATTTCCTTCAGTTTGCGTTTCTTGTCCATGCGCTCCTTTTTCTTTTCCTCCTCCTCCGGTTCTGGTTTGGACATTTTTCCATCTTCCTCATCATCTTCACTTCCAGACTAAACAACAGTAAGTTATCAAACATGTAAAACAGTTCATTGAAAACAACCTATTCTGATTAACAATTTAATATATATTAAGTAATGTTTTTACATAAAGCAAATTATTAGACACTTTAAAAATATTTCCATTTTAGACAGAAATTAGTAAGTTATTCATACAAGAAGATCTAATTTCAGCAATGACCAAAACATTTCATGACCTAATCATAACCCTTTTCCCTGAGAAAACTTCTTGACTTAACATTTATTTTACTGTCAGGGAACGCATCCCAGAACTGATCTATCTGTTATTCTACAGCTAAAATAAGCAGGCATAATAAAAGAGGGAAAAAAACCCCAAACTGTTGGTAGCATTGAGTAATACGGCGCTGGAAGGCAGCGCTCTAGAGGTCAGAGAGGATAGTTTGTTCACAGACCATTTGAAAACTGCCAAAATTATGCTGTTATGCTCAATTTTATAATGAAATGCAAAGCCATCAAGTTGCTAAGTCCGAAAAAAAAGTGATTTTTCAATCTGTATTGTCACAGACAACTGTAGCTCTGTTCTTGGAAGATATCCAAGTCACAGCATTAAATTGCTTCCACCAGCCTCTTTTCTGCAGATATGAGGAATGACTAGGAAACTGTGTCAGTTTCCACGATTTGCTGTGTTTAAACAGAGCTCTCTAATCTTCTGCATCAGATGAAGTGACATAGTACAAACAGTTATGATCACATTTGGTTTAAAATACTTCTCTCATACCTCCAGATCCTCCAGCTCTTGATTAAGCCTGACATCTACTGCTAAATAAGTGAGATGACTTCTCCTACATAATTAAACAATTCAGTTTGAGACTAAAACCATGCCGTTCTAGATATTTATAGGTCCCAAAGTTCATAACACATATAACCTTTTCTTCCTTGTTGCCACTGATTTCTTTCCTATTGATTCATGAAAATTAAATATATTACATGGGATGCCTATCACTTGATCAGAAACTCATGTGCATGTATGTTGCTGAAGAGCACAGAAATACAGGTCAGACCTCATCTCCTTCAGCAGCAGGCTTTCCTTTGTGCACAACACCGGTTTCAAGGTCTTCAAAATCTCCATACAGTTCTTCTGCAAGAATAAGCACCCAAAATACCTGACCGTTAACCGTTCTGTTGTATTGCAGTTAACTATTCTGTGGTATTGTTCCATACAATTTCTCCTATTTTCAGTATTGTGTATTTCTTGGTACTGCTTTGTAATTAGTTTCAGCCCAAATATTTTTTCTTCCCATCAACAGTTTTATAAGTCTGTTCTGCCCTCTCTCTAGTTTCAGCTGAAAATTCTCAGCTGAACTCCAATGGCTCCTCCTTTTTCCTTTCAGTATCTTTGACTTTAGGATTTCACAAATGTAAATAAAGTTTAGATCATTCCAAAGGACCACACAGCACATTAGTTCGAACTCTAATGGCACAAGACACCAGCAGAGTAATCAAGCTCCTATCTTTAATTTAAAAAATAATATTAATAAAAAATGTAAATAGACAAGTTTTAAGTTAAAAACAAATGCTTACAGAAGCCTGTCAAACCACAATCATTTTGCATACAAGATACAGCCCTATTATTAAAATTTTCTATTTCCTAATTTAAAAACAAACAAAAACAACACCTCCAAAACATCTGAAGATAGATCTCACTTTTCAGCCAAACATGAATGACCCGTTTATCTTCCCATTAAAAAAGAATTAATTCTGCTTATTTCTACCAAGCCTATCCAAAAGAATAAACCATATATAGAGGATGAATAGCTAAACTTGGATACATAAGTCAAAGTTGGCATGGCCAAGTGTTGAACAAGGACTCCATTTCCATATTTAAATTATATATCCTATTTTTCAGAGTATGTTTTCAGAATGTGCTACTTGCATACTGTTTGTACAGAAAATTACAGCAATTGTTTAATTATATTAGCATCTGTATAATACTTTCTGTAATAGTTTGAAAAAATTTGCAAGTCTATCACTAATGCAAAACATTTTACATATGTAACTACAAAGTCATGTTTTTCTTAAAAATCCTGTATACATGAATCATTTTAGAAGTCTTAAACATACCATCTTCCTCCAACAACTTTGCTGCATCTTTATCATCTTCCCACCTTCCAGTAACAAAGCAGTCTCGAATACTGCTCACAACCTGCAAAATAACAGTGTCAGTGCCTTGTACAGTTACAGCTTGTCATCAACAGAAACGTTTCCCACTCCTCCATCAGAGAGAATCTGATATTCTCATGCACAGCTCCACATCAAGACATCATAATCAAAACTACACAATGCCTCAGCAAAAGCAGGAACGTGAAACCATCTCAACTCTTGCCCAAAGGTCTTAACACCAACAAGGTCTCTACCCTACATCCTATTTTCACTTGTGATTCCTCTGCTTTTTACTTTTTGGTAAGTAAATAGCAAACCATGATCCACCAAACAGTCAAGAGAGCTAAGCATTAAATTGACTTATTCTAACTTTCCATTCCTGTAAGAACAGACCTTGGAATCTGTTAGCTAGTAAATACTTCTAACGACAGCAAGGAGCAGAAGATATGACACTGGCCGTAGCTCCCATAGGTCTGTTTCACTGACAACTCAGCAGCACTTTATGAGACACAGTCAGGACACAACCAGTATAGGATATGCAGAAGCAATTATCCAGTGGTATTACCTCTTCTAAATCCCAATCTTGCGGCTTTTCTATCGGAAATTTGGAACAGTCAAGAGCATTAGCCTTCTGTTTGGATGCTTTGTCTGGACGGCTGACATGAAACAAACCTCCAAGTTCATCACCTGCATCCTCACTCTCATGGTCCTCATCCTTGACAGCTAAATGAAACATACAAGCTGTGATTATTTCCCCCACAGTACATGGATTACATTCACTAACAACCTGTCTTCTGCCTTATGTTTCATAATACCTGCAGTAGTTTAAGGAAAAAAGATGCAAACTAAAAATAGCTTTAAATAGAAAAGACTGAAGAAAAAGGTACACTGATCCAGTGTAATAGCTAAATTAATACCCTCAACAAGGACAAAATAAGGTGAGCAGCAATCAGGGAGATACTATACACTGTGATCATAGTGAACTTCAGTTGTATGGTTAGTTGTTCCATACAGAAACATATAATTTATTTCACAAATTTCACATAGTTCAAATTTTTTTGAACAACCTGAAATCTGGTTCTATTTGCATAACTGGAATCACCTGAAAAAATATTGCCCAATATAAGTAAACACAGGATGTTCATTCAATACCATAAGTAGAAACAATACCAAAACAATCCGTGAAGACAAACTACATTGAGCTAGTCTGTAAATCAAGAATACTGGACTTCAGAATCTGTCAGCAAATCTTCCCGCTCCTGCACTGTGGAAGGTTTATAAAAGCCAAATTCTCATCGTGTTCTACAGAGTTTCTGCATAATGAGGTTTGTACGCTCAGACAGCTACAGGAAAAGTTGTGAATTAAACAGGACAAATTACATAAATAGCAATTTTCTCTTCCTTTTAAGTGAGCTAGCTTTTTTTTCTTGATAAACGCCCTTATTAAAGACATGATAATACTAAATCATGTTTAAGAGAATGTTCCACTCTCAGTCACTGTGATACAGAAATTCCTGAAACAGCCAACAAATAACATCCCTTTATGAACATCGATTACCACAACGGATTTGTGTAATATCTACCAGGTAATTATATAAATGATCGAACTTTAAATGTTTGGAAGGAAATAGTTGTACCAGAAAACATGAACAACAATCAAGTAGTCTGGAAAATGACCTCAAAATAAAAACTGTCTTTAGTAGTGAAAGTGAGTATCAGCAATTAAAAAAAGTCAATTAACTCTTCTCAAGCCTCCCACCAAAAGACAGTGCTCAAAGATGCAGACTTGCAAACCTGTTAACAGCTAAAAAGCTACCATATATTAAGACAGTACAAATTTCCAGATTTGTACCTGTTCCATAGATGAGTTTACGAAGATTGGGGGTTGAACGTTGCTGTCTTAGAAAGGCTTCAGCTGCCTTCTGTGTAAGGTCCTCTTTCCACTTAAGTGCACCTGAAAAAGGCAAAAATTTGCATTCTAACTCCAAAAAAGAACAAGAGTTAGGAGCTACACAAGTAATTTCAATAAGGACATGACAGCAACAGGCTTAAGAAGCACAGACACAACCCAGTTTCTTTTTTTCATACTCCATACATACAAAGAAACATAAATTGTGGCTAACATTATATCATTGATTTTTTAGATTATCCTGAGTTGGAAGGGACCCATAAAGATCATCGAGTCCAACTCCTGGCTCCACACAGAACCAGCCAAATCAGAGCACATGACTGAGAGCGTTATCCAGACGCTTCTTGAACTCAGTCAAGCTCGGTGCTGTGACCGCTTCCCTGGGGAGCCTGTTCCAGTGCCCGACCACCCTCTCAGTGAAGAACCTCTTCCTGATATCCAAATTTTTCTGATTAGTTCTTATTTTAGGACAAAATTTTAAGAGATTATTAGCAATAATAACAGATTTGATTATTTTCATGATGATACAGGTCATCTTCTCAAACTCACAGAATGGTTCAGGTTGGAAGGGATTTCTGGAGGTTATCTTGTCCAGCCCCACTGCTCAAGCAGGGTCACCTAGAGCAGGTTGCCTGGCACCATGTCCAGACAGCTTTTGAATGTCTCCAAGGATGGAGATTCCACAACTTGTCTGGGCAACCTGTTCTAGTGCTCAGTGAGTAGTTAATACATTTTAGTAACATTTCCCCAAGAATGTTTTATTCTTTCCAAATATATTAGAGCATCATAATTTGGTTTACACACATAGCCATAAAGATTAAAGAGATACGTATGCAGAATCAATGAAGTTTATAAAATGAATCACCTCCATTTTAGAGGAAGGAAACCTGAGACCTGAATACTGCATTGCAAATCAAAGGCTTAACAGCAGGTAATCCCAGGTTTCCTAACTTAAAGCTTGCCACTGAAAAACTAGATATATATTGGAGGGGCAACATTATATAATATTTACTAATTATAATATCATTTAACAATGAACCCAATTAAAAATGGACAGTAACATTTTTTAACTTTTATAGTCTACCTGTTGTATCAGTAGAAAAATCTATTTTTTCTTCATACTCCTCTTCCTCTCTCAGTAGATTCTCCACGTCATCATCATCCTCAGCTTCTAGAGCTTTAAGTTTAGTCTGTCTAATACTATCAGCTTTCTTTGCTTGAGTGTGCTGAAATCCCTTCCTATTTGCATCTTCATCATGTGATCCTTCTTCATCATCGCCCTCATCGAGGGAAGAGTTTTCAGCCTCAGATTCTGATGCCTCTTCTGCTGTGCAGTTTCCTGAATCTGTAGTGAGCACTGCTTTTCTTTTCAGACCGTGATCTAAGACTTGTGATCTCATTTCTGCATCTTCACTATTTATTTCGTACTGCTTGGATTCAGCAACTCTCTTGCTTGCAGCCTCAAATTCACTATCTGAGCTTTCATTTTCGTAAGTCCTTTGCTCATCATCATCCTCCTCATCATCATCCTCCTCCATCTCGTTCTCTTCCAGGGCAGTTCTTCCTTCTTCTCCTTCAGAACTCATCTCAAGATCATCATCACTGTCTGCAAATGCTGGCAGTTCATTCATAGTTTCCTCTCTAGCCATCTCTGTTTTCAGGCGTTTGGCTCTCCCAAGAGCCACCTCTTCCCCTAGCAGCTCTCTGTCACCTTCTTCCTCAGCATCATCTTCATCATCGCCATCGCTCCCATCCTCAGACATAGCTTCTTCTTCTTCTTCTTGGTCGTCTTCCTCATCACTTACCGCATCGTCATTTTCTTTCTCCTCTTCTTCAAATAATGCCTTCCGACGTACTCTTCCAGTCTTCAAATCAACCTGTCTCTCTTCTTTTGGCATCACAAACCTGTTTTCCCAAAGATCACATTTAGGGTAAAATGATCAAGTACAAGGAAATTTCAGTGAAACAATGAAGCTTCACATGTTAATATTTAATTTTTTTTTTTTTTTTTCAAACAGAGCAAGATTATGGAGAACATTAAAAAGGCAATGGAGTTCTTTAAGTATGGAATACCTCTTAATTCAAGAATACACTCTATGTTATAGCCATAAATAATTCCAAGAAATGTCTTCATTTTCCACGGCATGAAAATAGGTTATACAGTGAATTTTATTGAAGATTATAACTGCCATTCTCCAAAACTCTGAAGAAAAACAGAAATATGTTACTTACGGCTATACCAGCAAGCAATTCCTGGAAGACAAGACTCTACTGCTTGCAAATCTTCTCTAATATTAACTATTCCGATCTCAAAATACACACATGGCGTATGAGTAGTCTCAGAAGAGGAAGAATTAGGCAATAAGCCATTCTACTAACTGTGCTCTATTGAGAATTTTTCCTAAATTAGGGCCTGAAATTAGAAATTCATTCATGCTTAAACACTGCTCAGCATTCAAAACTTACTCTTGTCCTACATCTTCTGAACCTAGGGGTCTAGAGTCCATGAAGAGAGAGACCTTGCTTGATGCCATCTTAACATCAATGGCTGAATGCGTGGAGATGAGGCTCTGAACTAGTTCGTTATTTGGTCTCACTTCCTCCTGGAAAGTCAAGATTTTTTTTTATTTTTCAATTAAAATGCATAAACAAATGTCTAATGAACCAGCTAACAGTCATTCATCTGCCTAAAACAGTAGAAATATCCATATGCAAGAAAAAATTCCAAAGCATTTTAAGTAAACATTTTCTCAGAATAACAAGGTCTCCCTTCCCCTCTTCACATTTCAAGAATGCATACAATATTAACCCAAGAAAAATGAAAGAGAGCCTCCTTCACAGTATGCAACCACTGCAGTAAGTATCAGTAAGCACACATTATCATAGACCTAAATGTATTTAACATTTAGCACAATACAGGGGAAAACAGCTGAATTCAATGTTTGTATGTAATGTTTTCCCCCTCTCCCCTTGATCAGTCAAATCCTGTGTTTTTCCACAATCACCCTGCCCTGCAAAACAGGAGCTGTAATGTCCCAGTACCAACAGTTTTTATAAATCTGTTATAAGGCCATTTTTGGAAAGTTTATGAAACTAACTTTAGTTAATTATTATTAACTGATCCTTCAAATGTTTTGCACAGTATCCCTCCCCAGGAATCATTAGGGCAGAAAAAGGAATTACTCACTATGGATATATAAGGATTGATTATTTTAAAGCAGCTTATTTTTAAACACTTATTTTGACTCTAAGGATAAAAAACTGCATTTTGCAAGAATTCAAATAACCAGCATTTCCTTACCTCTTCTTTTTGATGAGCATGGCTTCCACCAAGGTCAATATAAACAGCATCTTTATCATACACAATGCCCCCAACTCCTGAAAGAGGGGCATAGACTAGTTTCTCTTTCTCATTTAAAGAACGCTTCTTCTGCTGTTCAGGTAGAGCACAGGGGTCTGGTAGGAAACTCACATCACTCACAGTAAAGTCTCCTACACCTGGGGTGACAAGGGAAGCAATAAGGTTTTCACAAAGTTTTGATTCTGAAATTTGTACAATTCACCACGAAGAGATTACAAAAGAAAAAACAACCCCAAAATAAACATACAAAAAATAATTGCAGCATTCAGGGATTCATAAACAGCAAGCTCTGTATCAAACATCCAGTTCTTCTGCCTTACCACTCAACTTAGAGAAGTACACCTAAGCTCACCAGAATATTGCAAAGCTTTGGGTTTGTTTGCTTTTTTTTAAATGAGAAAACTAGCAACTCACTTTTCTGAGTAGGTATTATTAAAATATTTCTGAATTCAAGCTTTTAAATCATTCACTTAAAATATTAAATTTATTCAATGGATTTGAGAAATTTTGCATAAGCCAAATTTACTTGTCACTATTACAGCTGCTATGTTTTGCACCTGAAGCACCTTTTAAAGCAAAATACCTTTGAAAAACTTAAGATACTGCAACAAAATGGCACAATTAAAACTATTAACAAGGATTTAGTCTTACAAAAATATGTATTATGACGAGTAATTTCCAAAAGCATAGCATGTATTTACAAAGATGAAAAATCTATTTTATGACATACAATTTAAAGCTATAAATCATTCCACAATAAAAACAGCAACACCTACGTTGTTGTCCATAGATCAGTACAAAAACAGTTTTAAGAATCTGATATATTACCTGGCATATGAATTTGACTTTTGCTTTTTAGGTGTGCTCCTCTCAAATATCCATAAAGTGATACCTTCCTGTCACATTTGGGATTGATTCGAACATCTTCTGGATTTGTCAACTCTTCCATTCTACCCAAGATTAAAAAAAAAAAAAATTAAAAAAAAAAAGTTAGAATATCCAGCATTTCTAATGGTAACTTTTGAAAAAAGGTTATTTAAGAAAAGAGGATTGTGGCATCACTGCTGCCACTGCATGTTCTGCAGACTCTAATAATCAAAACAGAATGATCATAAGAAAAAAAAATCCATGGAAAAAAAGATCTTTCAAAAATATTTTAAAATCGTATTTCAAAACTTGTATAATGATGTTCAAGAATATATTTCCAGAAGACTTACTGACATTTCACTAGACATGTACTGCTTTCTTAGCACATTTTAATTACTGTTTATACACTTGCTACACACAACCCTCCTTATATCAATTTTGCCATTAGAGTGAAAACAGAATAACAGCCCTATGACAGCTGAAAGACAATTCCCTGCAGCCACACAATACCTTCCTTTCCCTAATAACGGCGGTGAGCAACACAAAAGGAAAGGGCAGAGGAAAAGACAGGCAGATGAGGGGGAAACTCCTTCCAGAGCCCTTTTCTACACTGCACAAGGCAGGCAACACAAACACACAGCCAAGGAAGAGGATGGGACACAAGTTCTGGCTGCCACCCCAACAACCAAAAATAATTGCAACAGTTATAGCAACTTAAAACAATGGTACTGAAAGACTACAGGGTTTTTTTTCTCATTTTTCCTCTCTGCTTTGTGTATTTTGCAGGACTTCTCATTATGTTTATCTACTTCTCTGACAATTTTTTCTAAAGAATTAGAGCTTTGAAAAAGCCTTGTTCCAGACACCTTGCATTCTTGTGGGAGTTTAGTCATAACTGTAAGCATTCTGCCAATAAAATATGGAAGGTGAGGTACTTTTTCAAGTAGGCACAGCCACCATTGAGATTACTTTCACATTCCAAAGAGACTGTGTATCAAATGCTATACCTGAGGATGGAGCAGAAGGGATGTTCCAGGGAACTCAGAGGACTAATTCACCAGCTGCTGTTAAATCACTGGAATGCTGTTTCTTTTCAATATAATCATCAACAAGCAGGATGATTTAAATTTTTTTTTCTGTGTTTCAAAAGTATTTACAATATACCAAAGGCCTATCTACATGATCCGATGCAAGTGAAAACCAAACAGCTAAAGTTATTAGCACAAACCTGAGGAGTATGCTTTCATTTCCCCAAAGCCATCTAGATAACACTAAATACCCATTCACAGATAGAGCTGCCTGGCTCTAACAGTAGAGGTTTTTTTTAAACAGCAAGGTGCTATCTATGCTGAGATAGAAAAACAGAGAGAAAAGCACACACCTGTCCACGAGAACATACGGGTGAGATGTTTGCCAAGTAAGAGGTCGGAATTTCATAACCGAGATAAAACGCCCCAAATTGTGAATTTCTTGCTTTTGATATTCTCCGTGAACCATCCCAGAGAGATAAAACAGCTTAGCACCCTAAACACATTAAAAAGACATAAAAACATTAAACATCAATTTAATACCTACAGAACTAAAAAGTAATGCAATTCTAATTTGTAAATCATAATTGGAAATTGCAGGTTACAGTTGGTTCCAAAAGATCAAACTAGTTTACTTCAACATGAAAATTGCCCCCTAAATTTTAAGGGAAAACAATTCACATCCAGAAAACCTCATACAAAGGTTAATTTGTCTCTGAGACCTACAAGCAGATCCTCCTTGCATAGCGCCTGCATAACAGACCTTTTTACTAGTATCACATGTTTAGTAGCTCATCACGCTGAGACAGAGAATAATCACGCAAATATTTTAGCAAACAGAAGAAAGATTACATAATCTGATACATCATCAGCATTGTCCATTTATAGTATTATTTGAAACATCGAAGAACATAATAAATACTTAAGTATTGTCCCACTTTTAATTTAGCTTCCATAATGCAAAACATATGAAAAAATGAATGTTGAATATCATACCGGATACACTTCAGTCCAGAATCTGTGCTTTAACTTCTTTTTAGTTTTCTTTAATTGTTTGTTGTTCTTGAAGGTATCCAAGTGGGTAAGAACTCCCATAATTTTGGGAAAGCCATGTACCTGACAAATGTTCAGGAATTCAAACGTTTCCATCTCAAATCCAAAGCTGGCATCAATAAGCATTAGAACCTGAAAACACAACATCAGCCTTTCATTACAGCAATACCACGGTGCCCACATGAGCTAATTTCAAAGACCACGCCTTTAAAGTCATAAGCTTCTTGGGAACCAAAATCTTGCAAAAAGGTTTGTTCTTTATTTTCATATAACCCAAAGATCAACTTTGGCTGTTTGATTAAAGAATGGAACTTAGCTGCTTTAGAAGTTAGTAGGGCTTAGGAAATCAAAACTCTTCTTCCAATCAAATCTCCTTTATATAGATTTGATTTGCTGCTTGTTTCTGAAAAAAACTATAGAAGAATAAAGCTGCTCTATGAATGCAATAACATACACTATCATAATAAGATCTGAAGAGGTGTTTACTTGGTCAATTTAAAATACGCAAAATTGAGTATCTGCCAATATTTGCAAGAATATCTGAGAAAACAGAATTTTTATATCTGTGTCTTGGATGCTCTAATGCCCCTAAGGCCACGTCTTTTGGTAAAGTCAGACAAACTTATTTCACACATTGCAATGACCATTATGCATCCCTAAAACGCAGTGACACAGGAAAATAGCACCCAACAATCACATGAAGATTGAAGCAAAGTCATACTAGGGCCTCAGCAATTAAGAACTTAAAACACATGAGAGCTGATGACAGAGACATGCATGCGATTAAGTAATCCCAGCCTCCTAACAATAAAACAAATAGATTTTCAGCATCACCATGCGCATGCAGAATCTCAAACATCTGTCACATCTACTAACAGAAAAATTTTGTATTTTTTAATACATCTCCCTTCATCAAGTAGAAAACATGCAAGTAGCACAGTATCGGAATTAGTGCATGCATGTATTTAGATAGTTAATATTTATATAAGGATCCCAAATCATAATCAGCTATGAACAATATACTCCAAATCCACACAAAAAGTAAAATTCTAAATAGACAAATGGAACATGCATTGGGTCCCCAAGATCCGTTGACATAATCCACTGAACCAGAAGTCACAAGTAAACTACAATGGTGACCACACTCCACTAAATCAATCGTATTACTACACAGCGATCTTCAAAGACGGAGACATCAGAATGCATCAGACAAAACCAACCAGTAAACCAATACATGTATACATTAGTTGAAAACTTCTTGACTGAAAAACATTTTCAGATTTTGCATGGTTGACCAAATCCCTTAACAAAAAGTCGCTTTATCACCTTGGCTTGTTACAATATCGTCCATTAAAAGTTTACCACTTGCATTAGTAATGAAGTTCAGTTGCATTTCCCTTCTTCCACATCCTCCCCACCACTACACACGCTTTATTTCCTCCCACCCCTGGGATAAGAAGAGTCCTAAGGGTTGTTCCAGAGTATTAGGTCTATTGTTGAGCTTATCCAGTTTTGCTTTCAACAGCAATGGGTACAGAAATCAGACATTAGTGCAGTCCAGTCAAAAGTAGTATTTTCAATAGAAATTACAGTAGAAATCATGTGCCATTGTTAACTTACCAAATCAGCAACTTTAGCCAGGTCAATCATTGTGTTAATGTCACACCCACATTCAATAATAGTTAGCCTGCGTTTTTTACCTGAAAAAAAAACAGAATTAGGAATCAAAAACTCAATCAGAGGGAGCAAACTATTTAGTCCACTGTTTTCTTTTCAGGTCACATTCCTGAAGTTCCTAAAGAGTATCTGGGCCTCAAATTCTTGTCTAGCTTATAGATCATCCAATATGCACCAATGTAGAAGTACCCATTTTCAAATGTTTATAATTCTGCTAAATTTTAACTTTTTGGTTTAAAATTACCAGGTTGAGTACATGTTTTCAAAGGAGTTGTTCGGTATTTTTCCAAAAATGATACAAAATAGCAAAAAGAGTTTGGAGGTGTTTGGTTTTTTTCCTGTTGGGTTTTGGTTTTTTGGGGTTTTTTGTTGTTTTTTTTTACTTTGGGAAAAAAACTCTCTACTACTTTTAGTGCCTCAAAGCTAGTACTGTGGATTTCATTTTACCGCATATTTTTGTTCTTTTGATATCATTAGGAAAAGCTACACTATTCTAGCTTTTAAAAAAAGAGTAGATTTACATATCAAAAACATTTATAACATGCATCCAAATGAGAAAAAAGTACCCAAAGTTAACGTGGCTTGACTAACTTGAGTTAGCTACCTGAACTTTAGACAACAGGATTAACAATTTTAAACAATAGACAACAGCTATCATTTTTTTTATCTTCAGGTTATCAACTGCAAAATTCAACTCTTGAGTCACAGCAGATCAATAAGTAAAACCAATTTAACACATGAATTTTCCTTCCCATTTTTTCTTTCCCATATTTGTCAATTACTCCTTGCAAAAAGGAGATTTATTAGGTAAAGTTTATGAAGAGTCTACCTGCATCAGAGTTGTCTGTGTCCAAGCAAGATCTCCCTCACAAAATGATAGCTTGAGCTGCTGTGGACTGTGCTTCCCCTAGAATTTCAATGATTCCTCCAGTAATATTCAGGGAAAAGTATGAAGGGAACAGACTGAGACAAGTGGAAACAGGGACTGAAAACTTAACAAAAAGGTAAAATAACTGACCAGGGGGTGAGATGGAGAAACATAACTGGAAATGGCTAGCCAAATCAATTCTTGGCTTAAGAAAGAAAGGGCAAAGACGTGATTATAGGACAGGGAACCTGAAAGAATGGGAAACATGTACAGAGGTTAGGATGAAGCCAGAGAAAAACAATTCAAAAGACAGAACAGAACCCAGTGGAAAAGAAAAATTTGGAAAAAGTTTAGGGAGGTAGAAAAAACTGGAAAAAAGCCAGACAGGAAAAACAAAAACAAAACCCCACCACCACCAGAACTGGGATCCCAGCAGGGTAGAAAACAAGCTTAGAGGGACAAGTCCCCCAGAAACCTAAATCTCACTATTCTTTTACTGTTAATAAGCATGCCTGGTAACACAACCAAATGATTACTTAAAAATGACCAAAAATTAATGAACACGTCCTAGCTCAGAAAGCAAGACAAATAAGGAGTGCAAAACAAGCATTTCCATTTCTTTTATATTTGTTCTCACCTGAAACAATTGTTACAGGACCTCGGATTTCAACCAGTTTTTGCCTTGTGAAGTTCTTAATGAGACATTTTATTAAGGTGCTCTTCCCAACCTTGGGAGGGCCGACTACAACCACCACCACAGGAGGTGGCTCCAAAGGAGTACGGTCAACCACAGGAATGTGATGTTTTTTAGTCTTCAAATCCTGAGTTCTGAGAAGAAATTTGTAATAAATAAATACAGAACTTAAAAACCAGTAACATTTATTCTTTGAAAGTCTTCAGTATTTGCAAAAGCTTGGATACAAAGGTTCACCAAGAGCCCAGATACTAACATGTATGTGGAACTCCAACCAAGTCTAAGGAGCTATACACATTTTTTCCATTAAGACCAACACAGCTGTACCACGTAACACAGATGCAGAAAGCCTCACACTTCTGACACACACATAAACTCTAACATGACCTGGTGAATGATGAAAGCTATGTGAGCACACCAGTGAAAATTACGTTATGTATAATTCTACACAAAGTAGGAAAGGAACCCCAGCCAACACCTATCCATCCAGCCGATCTTGCGTTTTCTATAACCAATTCCCGTTTCTTACCTATGGAAAGTTCTGGCCATCCGCACAGCGGACTGGACCGTAAAGGCTTTGGGGTTTCTCTTCCGCGCATTCTCCTCGTCTCCTATTCCTAGATCATTGAGGTAACGTTTCCTTTTTTTCTCTGCCTTCGGCCCGCTATGCTTTGCACGATGCTTTTTCTTCTCTTTTTCCTCCATCTTACTCTTTCAACAATTGTTCACAATCGAAATGACATAGATTGCCTGCGTGATACTGCGCGCACCTGGCATACGAAGAAAATGGAGTTAATGCATATCGCATATGCATGCAGGATATCCGTGAGAGAACAGCAGCACTATGTAAACATTACTTAACCATCTCGGAAAAAACCAGCTAATTTACATCCTGCCTGGACGCACACGACAAGCGCCGAAGCCCGCCCAGGTAAAGCAGCACTCCTGGCAGTCCCCAGGCCCTGCGCGCCGGGCACCACGCTCTCGCCCTCAC